AGTCTCACTTATGACAACTGAATTTCCAACTTTGATTTCAGACTATTGGCTGGCATCCTAACAACTGTGTTGTTTTTCGTCACGAAACTACGCAATAACTTTCCTGCCAATCTTATCGTCACCTCATTAGCAGTAAGTTTACACATTTTTCTGAAAATCAAATAGACAGGAGAAAGAATAAGCGCTCATGCTCTTCATGGAGTTGATGACTGTTGCTTCAAACCATACTTCTTATCCTGTCTGAGTACCTATACAGTTTCATGTTTTCACACTGTTGTTAGGTGTCACAGAAACGAGGAATCGCTATCCACTGTATATTGTGTATTTCTTGTACTACGCCTAGAAATCTGAGGTTATTTATTTCCCTTCGAAGTTGTTATAGTCAGCATATGTGCTGATTGCTATACGCTACACCTTACCCTGTCATAATGTGTGCCATTTGTTGCGAGAATACACAAGTTGCATGTGGCCTACTGGCGAAAACAAGAACATCAGAGGAGACTCGTGTTGGTTGTAGCAGTTCTGTTTCTAAACAACTGTACAAGCAGCTCAGTGAACTAGTGAATATTCTGAATATTTGCAAGTGCGTGACAGCAATTAAGAAGACTGTTGTAGTGTAGTATATATTCGAGTGGTTCAACATGAAGTGCTTCATGACTGTTGTAGTGATTCATCTCACAACCATCCAAACACATTCCTTCACTTCCTATCAGTATAATACACTGAAATAATTCATATTATTACAAGCAATTAATTGTCTTATGTCAGTTCCTGTGCATTACTCATGTTTGATGAATTTCATTCATTGTTGTGTTTATTGAATTCCAGGTTATTTCACTGTCTGTCAGTGCAGTGATAATATTATCTGATGTAGAATGGTGGCAGGCTGTCATTGTGCTGAGTGTGACTGCTGGGATATTTATAGTGGCAGCATTTACGGGTCTCACCTCGAAGAATGTAAGCAGAAGGGGACAGATAGTATTCATATCGATATCAGGTGGATTGTATTTTGTGGGATTGATCATTGCCTTTGTCAGCTACCTTGTTGTAAGTTATCTGTATTGGTAGTCAATATATCAATGCGACTGATTTTCACAGAGAGATATGTATCAGAAATGTTTAATAATACAAATGAATGGATGGACAGTTAAACCATCCTATGCAACTCATTTAGCATGTTATCGGTATTTTATGCGTATATCGATGCTGTATTTAGCCGTATTGAGTTGATGTATTTGATGCAATCTCAGTGTGATCAACGTTTATTGCCATTTTGTGACGAGTCGACGGACGGTATACATCACAACTGACATCAGGTTCCATGTGAGGTTTACTTACCTGCACTATCACACTCAGTCATCTCATTCTGTCTTAGAGATGCATATTCTCCTGATAAATTCCAGGAAGTCAGTTTGCATCAACCTGTTTGTCAGAGTCTCAAAGTGACCAACGTGCTGAGTCAGTGGGTATTACGAAGGATGTTCGAAATTCGCGTGAAATTTCCTCCCTCTTCGGGAATTTTTATGTGAGGTCGACAAACTGGACGTGGTCTGACATGGAGTTGACTTAATTGGCTGTTGAATTATCCCACTTAGATCTTATGCTGTTGGTGACAGAATTGGATACATCAGTGAGATATCTGTAGTATGTTCCTTCCACTCAATAATTTTGTTTCAGCTGCCTCCAGCTTTCTTCTATTTGCCTACAAGATCTCACAGCATTTTGTTTTTGCATTCTAAGCCACTACGTCGATGAAGATGAGCTACAGGTAGCAAGCAGTTCAATGTTCACAGCTGAGTGGTAATACGCTTCTGTGTTATCTCTAAATTGTGGACTGTGTTCATGAAAAACTGCTTAATGCAAACGTTTACTTTCTTTCTTCAGCAAGAACTCACGATTGCAGCTGGGACATGCTGGAGCCTTGCATTAGCTATGGTAAGTTTGATATTGCATGAAAGCAGAATGACTAATTAAATTGTGTGTTGTGCAAGTCAGTTCCGATGAAGACGCCTGTCAGTTCGCTTTCTCATCTTCATTTGACTCCCATTGAGTCGATGAGTGAAGCCATTGAAATGGGTGATGTGTTGCTGTGATATCTCACACAATGAGTAGCTTCAGTGTAATATTGTGATTACATTTTCTTGCTCTCAACCAGTGGTGGATAATTTGAGGCATGTTGGGAGAAACACATTTGGTGTACACGGCTCGTCAGCTGAATGTAGCAGGAGCGCAGTCAGTGATGTGGTTCCCACAGTGGATAGAACTCACTACCCATCCCTTAAACACGCACAGCCTTATCCACCAACCCACCTGACAAATAGAACAAAACACCAATCCTCGAGTCCTCTGTTAGTCAACGAGATCAACGTTGGATCGTGAATCAGCAGTAGTATCAGGGTATCCGTATACGAGTCCATATATCAACAGAGGTAGAGCAATTCACTCCTGTATAAATAACAACAGGAAATTACAATTATCATAACAACAATTACACTGAATACATTTTGAAACAGGCTCCCTCAAATATCACACACCACACTTCACTGCACCACACTTCACTACAGAATTGAATTCTCCACAAATTTTAAATTCATTTTCGATTTAATCTTAACCTGATAGAGATTAATCTGTTCAGACAGAATTTATGTGATGAGTGATGATGATTTCGTCGACCAATCTGGATGGATACAGACAACTTATCTAAGCTCAACTAATCAGATTGCTAAGAGTGAGTATCCTAGTCGAATAGGAGAGTGCCTTTGCCACACAAACACATTGACTTTTAAACAGAGGAATCAACCAATCAGTTTTCATTTCAAACTTCTTTTTCCACCCTGCATAAATTAGGAGATAGAAGTGTACCGCATTATTAGCGTCAACCTCTATTTACCTTATCATTATCATTTGATTTTTCGCCCTGTATTTCGTAATTGATTATGAATTCTAACATTTTGTTTATCTTATCGCTATGGCACAATTATTCCATTCTACTCTTTGTTACCACATATGGACGCACACACACCTACAAAATGTAATGCGCTGTCTTGGAACGATGTTGAAATGTTTGCAGAGAATGGAGTAGAATGGTGACGTGCTGCTGAGGGCCTATGTTCGATTACGAACCCACGGGACAAATAGTAATAATCTCATAATAATTTATTAACGTCGAAGCATATTTTGGACTCATTTGACACTCTCATTCTCTTTGACCTTTTCTCCGTCACCCAACAGTTAAGTGTTGAACTACTACAGCTTCATTTCATACTCCTGATATTTACTAACCTGTCAAAATATATGCTAGCATTATTCACAACTGATTTCTACATACGAATCACGAATCTAACTACCACATGATTGTTTCTCTCTCAACAATTCAATGTGTTTCTTTTACGTGTATCAACATACTTCTGATACATTTCATTGCTGCTTACATAGGTGATCATTTATTCTGATTCGATGAAATCTGTTTGATACAACTACGTCTACAATTAAATACAAGCCCAACCATATTTAACCACATTGACATCAGATCCAACTTCACTATTATACGAGTATGGGAATACCTGGAAGTCATCTGCATTTATGAAATGTTCACCGAATAATTCTTCATTCATTATCAAGGTGTAAGAATTGTGTTGGGACACTGACGTCTACCAACCACCGATTGCAATAGTGGAGAATATTTGTAGCTCAGGTGGATGGTCTTGGTTGTGTTGTGTTCTCTCAGCTGGCTTCTTCAATCCTGAAGCTATCATCGTCCTCCTAGACGACATTATCAGCATGACGACAAGATTACTGAGACCACTTGCAGATGGTGTGACCCATAAACCATAAAACTCCCTGCAAACACTATTTATTATGCAGACCAAAGCATGAAACAACCAAAGAAGACAAAGCGAATATCATTTACAAAATCAACCGCAATAACTAACCACAGTCAACACTACATTGGACAGAGAGTGGTCGCCCTCTTCGCCTTCGTCATTCACATAAACACCAACTGGCTAACAAACTTCACATGACATTTCATCACTCATTTCAATGCACGTGGATAACAAGGATGCACATGAATTCGATTTGGACAATGCAGACATTTTGGATGGAGAGAGGAAACACAAAGCATATCAAAGAATTCCTACAAGCTTCACCTCCAAGTCAGTCAGTCAGTCAGCAATCTACAGATGTATAGACATAGACTCAATTTATCAACTAATGGGAAGAATGATAAACGACAGAAAAGTCAGATGTCAAGTAGAGGAACAGCTAACAGGAAAGTCTGTGCAGTCAGTCAATGACACAACAATCGAAGGAAACAACCAATCACAGACCACATCGTCGAGGCAATCCACTAAATCACTCACGGAGAGATGTTGATAGCTTGCATTATACTGAAGTTAGTGTTGATTATGTCGCTGTTTAGCAAGACGATGAAAGCTTCACGACTAGACAACCCAGCTCCATACACAACACAATACAACCAATTTACCATCACTTCACAAAATTCTACATATACTTTAAATCATTTTCATTATCACACCTTATGAACGAGGCATCATTACTCCTCACCAACCCACTATCCATTCTTCACCATGTTAAACATGTGCACATCTATGTGTGCTGCACTCACAGTTATCTCATTCAATGTTTTTCTCACTATCTGCTTCACATCACTGCTTACCACCTCCTCGATTATCATTCTACTCGAGGCACTACCACACCTACAGTAACCATTCAATATGGTGTAACAGTGAAGATGTAGTATGAAGATGCATAATGTTCCATTTTAATTGAGGCGAAAATGGTGCTTCCATCAGGATATTCACCATAATACATTCATTGATATTTGTAGAATGGTGGATGAATGAAATTCAATGAGTGAGAACAAGTCGTATCTACTCAAGCGTTTCAGTATTATAACACCAAATGATATTTGTTAAAGTTACCAATGAAAGCATTCAGATTCCGTCTAGCACATAAACACATATTTGTCAATCGAAATCTCAGTATAATGTGATGAGGAAATTTAGGTATACAGTGTTGTTGCAAACATTCTCCGTATCATTTAGCCACTTGAAACCTTCAGTTACAGAAAAGCAAAGCCCCATTTCTTCAATCCACAATATATAAGATACAAATAAGGCGAAGGGGAAGGTTCTTTCGAAATGGCCAATTATTAGGATTTTGATGGTGATGAAGATGGTCTGAAAATTGAAGAAGGAAATCTCATTGTCAATATTACGATACGTTTGGTAATGTAGAGGAAATTCCATGAAAGCATCACCTCACTGAATCTGGGGGGTGATTGCATTTTAATACCCAGCTCATAGAGACTGTATGTTCTGCACGAAGTTAACATTGATCATACTTGTAGATATAGTGTGTGAACAAGAGCCGGATTTTCAGCATCAATACAATACAGTCAAGTTACTGCTTCCATGTGGTGGTTGAGAGACTCGGTCCATTACGAAAGGCATTCCCAACAAACTACAGATATTCATCAACAACTACCACCTTCACTGGCTCGTTACTGACACTGAAGCTCAGATGGCCAGAATAATGAGAATAAGTAACAAGGAACTTCGGTTGGCTGCCAACGAATCAACCAACTGCCTATCACCTAACAAATATGCAGAAGAAGGAGGTGGTGATGGATTGGAGTGGGCATACACTGAGAATACCATTCGGGAACATCACGCACCACGCCATACCATGCCCTCGAATGGAACCCAGATGGGAAACGACGAGTTGGGTGTTCGAGGTGAGAGTGACATGGAGGTGATCATGTGAGGAAGAAATGACGTTTCAAGCTGAGTTAATTACTCGTATTCATACTAAAGTGATCATAGGACTTTTAAACTTCCTTTATATCGTTCAATAGTTTTTCATTCATGATTCTATGTGCTGAGTCATTTCCATTACACATGTTAGGTTTGGATTTTAATGAACAAAGATTCTGTGATCAATCTCTCTCTACCTTCACGGATTTTAGAACAGTCATCCTATCCTACCTCATATAGTGTGATTATCGGTTAGTGCATGCAGAGCTATAGCTGAGTTGTTTTCTAAATTACTTGTCTTAGTAAATAGTGTCCACCATTGTATGTTTCACTAAATGTTTGTGTTCTGCTATTCTGACTGATCCAGATCGCCTGCGTTGACTTCTATTCTTGACCTCACATTTATTACATGGAATTTGATAGATAAGTTTTATTATGATTAATATTTTCCCCTTGGATTCCTTGTAGAACATATGGCTTCAGTAGCACGTCTCAATTCCACTCTCCTCCCCACAAACTTTTGGACCTGGTGCAACGACTGCCCACAAACTCTCATTTATTCCTCACACCATCACCTCCATGTCACCCTCACCTCGAACACCCAACTCGCCGTTTCCCATCTGGGTTCCACTTGAGTGTCTGTCATGACCCGATGCGTGATGTTTCCGAATGGTATTCTCAGTGTATGCTCAATTCAATCAATCTCCACTCTCTTCTACTGCATATTTGTTGGTTGGTTCGTTGACAGCCAGAGTTTGTTGTTGTTTAGTCCTATTATTCTGGCCATCTGATCTTCAGTGTCAGTCTGTCTATATCCACTTATCTCTTAAGTCACCCTAAGTGTTGTCTGGCCTAGCTGGATGACATTAAAGGCGTGTTGTTGAAATTCGTGAACAACTTCTAAGTTATGTTCGATAACGAAAACATGGTGTGCAATATTCAGGGCTTACTGCACTTGTTCAATGTAGTTTCACACCATGGGTCTCTAGATTCATTCTCATATTTCCCTTTTCAAGTTTCACATACACAGTTTACAGAAGATAGTTAAGGGACCTGATAATCCAGCTGTCCAAATATGCTAGCGGATTACAGAGAGGTGCATTACGTATGTCAATACAAGCATGGTAGTGAAATGTTTAGTGGATGTTGCAAAGCAGACGGCCTGCCTTACCGGAATTCAGTTGTCAACTGACCAACCTCACGTGGAAAGTATGCTGAATAGGGTGTTGGAGGTTTGCATTGGGAAAAATGATATCTCGAGGAACTCAGTTCACAAGCTGATATCATCTGGAAGGTGGCATCTAAACGATGACGGATAGATGCAGGAAATGGAATGCAAGCTTCAAGACCCTACGATTGTGACTGAGATCAGTGAGGACATTTCAAGCCTAGTTGGTTCAGATATTGGGGTCTCGGTTAGAAGGATCATGGGTACTGTACTATCTATCACCTGAATGTAGCACAAGTTACTCGTAGTCGTCAACCGTATTCAAAAAGTCATTTCAGAAGACATTACTATGCAAGCTTATCATCGGCAAGTCTATATCAATATACATGTTCATTATTCTCCCTAGGAGCTATTTATGATTGCCACCGGCACTGCAGATACAGCCAATCTGCAAACGTAGACAAAATAGCTGTGGAAATACAACACCGGTTTCACGGCAACCGGGACCGAGTGCGAAGACGGAATAGAAAGAGAGGGAAGCTCTATTCGGTAAGCATATCTCCTTCGAATACCATTCATTGGTAGGATGTTGCCGTTATTGATGTAAGCGACAGTAATGAGCCCACTGGTAAGGAAGGGCTGGGATGAGCAAGACGTGGGACAAGGTGAAGTAGGCTTGGCAGCTTAATTGCACCATGTCCACCGGAATGTTAAGCGTCAGTGTAATTCTTTTAATCTAATATATTTCTTGTGAACAATGCCAAAGCCTCCTGATTTTCTTTTCGTTTAGTTATGGAAATGTATGTGTAACACCTCAGGTGAACTGTATGAACAGCGATGTAGGTGTGTCTGTCGAAAAGTTAGAGAAGTACAGAACGGTGTGTAACAAATATCGGGTATACCTGGGAAACTGTGAAATTGCTTTCAGTGTACTTCGGGCTAACTTAAGGAAGTGCACAACGGTGTGCAATAAATTTCGGGTATATCAAGGTAGCCATGGAATTGCCTGAAATTTAATTCGGGCTAACTTAGGGAACTGTGGAATTTTCTATCGAAAACTCAGGGGACTGCAGAACGTGCTGTAATAATTTTGCGACTAACTCAGGGAACTGCAAAAAATCCAGCGACACACTTCAGGGACTGTGGGAAAAGTGTTGCTCCACCCTCAGTTTTCATCTCATATTCATCCCTAAGTTGGCGAAGTTAACCCTGAGTTTATGCCTGCTGGGTTGTGGCTTTAAATACCACCTTAATGCCAACCAACATTATTAAGAATTCTACGTTCACTTTGATAAATATAGAGTGAAATGATGTGATGAAATGTGTTGGTCTCCTATAAACATTGTTATCTAAGCTTCCATCTATTCTCTCGACTTTCAAATCTGGTATATATAATTCTGCTTTTTCATTTTCTAATTCATAGGCGAATTGAATTGTGTCTTCTGTATGCAACCGGCTGTGTTACTATTACACAACGCTTAACCAACCCTACTGAACTTGATATGCTGTAGTACCTGTTTACTCAGTACCTTGTCTAACGTGTAATTGCTGACAGACAAACACAAATAAACAATGTGGACGGAGGCCGGATTAGAACCAACGACCACTGGGTTACCGGCCAGGTTTAGGTGAATGAGAATGTCAGGAGGAGTATCATATTGATTATTACATGACTACGTGAGATAGCAGTTGTAGTTTGGAAGACTAGTATTGATATTGCGTGATGATTGAAGGTGAGATGAAAATGTAGACTGTGGCCGGATTCAAACCAGCGAATAAGAACCAGTGAATCCGATCAAGCGGTAGTAACGTGTCACGAATTCATATGGTAGTTGGGCGAAACCCATGGTGATTGAAGTGCAATAAAATTCTAGTTAGTAGTTGGACCTCGTAACACAGTTGGTAGAGCATTTGGCCGGTAACTCGATGGTCGTTGGTTCGAATCGGTCCACTGTCGAGACTCTCATCTCACCTTCAATCACCATCGAGTACAAATACTAGTCTGCCAAACTACGGCTGCTATCTCATACAGTCAACTGATAAACAAATCAAAAAGTGTAGTATTCAGGAATATATTTGGAGCAATATATGTAAATAGAATAAATGTGATAGTGATTATGAGGGGGAAATAGTTTATCCAACTTATCTAACTAGTATAGCCGAACTGGGGACTCTGAGGATGTGAGTGTTAACCAGCACGATTAGAGCGCAAAATGGCGCTGATGTCTGCTTGGCTGCATACTTGTTAAAACAAAACTGAAAACATCATATGCATCCAGAGGCAAGCTAGAAATTTTTCAATTAATATTTAGTTAGGTCAATTTAATCTACTTATTTTAGCTCGAATTGCATTTTGGTGCCAAGAATCTAATATGTGGGAAAAAATTGGATGTGCTCTGATTTCAACGCAGTAAATGTTTCGTCTACATATCGTCACCCAATGCCATGTATGTTTGTGTGTGTGTTTGTCTGCGTTTGTGGTAGGCCGATTTTCGACATTTGTCCGATCACGAAGATATTTTTCATTCAAATCTATCTCAATGTCGAAAATCATAGCAAAGAAAAGGTTTGAGCTTGTGGATTCGAGACATTATATATACAGTTGTTGCATTGCACAACCCCAAGTTGCCCTTGAAAAATGTAGATTATTCCTCATTTCAGTAGAAGTGGTTAAATCAAGAGGTGACTCCCATGTCTGTTGTCTCTCCACTCTCACTTGTAAATTACTGTTGGAAGTGAGGATTTAAAAAGACTTCACTGTTGAAATTAACACAACTGTCACCGTAGACTTACTCCACCATAAACTGTCACTATGAATAAGTAGGATACACATACTATTCTCAAGGCGTTAAACATGACCACATCACAGGATTCAGTGTATTCACATGGCGTTAATATGTAAAATGAGATGCCGTTTTCACATTTTCACCTACTTCCCCCAAAATCGATAATAATGATACCTAGATGAAGCGGGGCATTTTTCTTTCACTAGACACCATCTCAATAAAATACAGATGTGTTGTAATCACGTGTAAGCACAACGATTGTTGAAAATGACAAACTACATCATACAGGATGTCTCATTCCGAACTGGAAAGTGCTTGAATGATACAAGTTATGCCATAGGATAGCTATCTCATAATCATTGATATTCAATTTAGGATATTGTCATACAGGGCTCAGATATTTCGTGAAGGATTCTGAGCAATAAAACGAATTCACAATGATATGCTCAACTGTTTCAGTGTGTAGGATATTTTGACAGCAGAGTACACATGTCGCAGCTTTATCGACAAATTCAGTGAGAGTGAAATTGAAATCAGAATACTAAATAACAAGCATCTTCACAAGAAGTGACTTGCAACAAACGAAAATGTGTACACTACTGAAAGACTTCCACTACCATTACCTCGAATAATCACATTCCACAAATCAAATAATCATTCCACATGTATGCACTATGAAACTTACTGTCATTTGTGAAACACTCCACAAGAGGCCAGTTACAACCGTGAATCGTTTCTACAGAATAAAAGTATACTTCAAGATTATGCATATTTTTCATGAACAGAGTCCATAATATAAATACGTACACAAAAGCTTATTACCATTCACATCTCAACAATGAACTGTTGTCTTCAGATAGTCTCATTGTACAAACCAATGTTGAATACACAGAAGAAACACGGAGAGACAGACACTATAGATGAATCACATGGGACAATGGATCAAGTTTCAGTAAGAATACCTCTACAGTGATCATCACATTTCTGTCAACCTCTTCATCAATGAATCGAGTGAGATTTATGACAGGAAATGCTTCTTTCAATAAAACGAATGCGCTTGCATGCAGTTTGCATTGTGTCATGTACTAAAATAGCTTGAATGAATGTTGCAATACAACCAAATCTCTCCCATCTGCAACCATGTCTGTACCAACCAACGTAGCATTCCTTATGAAATAACTCCTACAATTCAAACATGATTACACTCGTCCACTTGTACACATGTATCTCCACTTAGTTTCCACCTCAAATCTAGTCAAAGAAATCATGGAAAATTTTCTCCCCTATCATCACCATCATGCATCTTCATTTCTTGATTCCAATCCATCATCATAATCACCACCACCACCACCACCACAACAACAACAACAACCACTACGACAACCACAACACCCCCACCCCAACAGTGAAGACACATACATATGTGGAAGTTACAGAATAACCGTGTGCAATCAGAATCTATCTACATGCTCCTGGATAGCTCCACATTCCCATCATTCACTGACAGACTACACCATTGAATTGATGACATCCAAGCAAGTAGAAGATTTAAGATATTCACCAGACTGATGAGATTCTCCTATCAGAACATGAAGTATCACTACTTACCAGTAGTCAACTTCCAGGACAACCACCTACACGATTTGAAATAAATGAATGTGAGAAGCAAGTAGATGAACATCACTGAGTGAAGTCAATGTGCTACAGTTATTTCACTGGCTTAACCAATTCTGTGTTGAAAAGCATTAGGTGATAATCACATCCTTCGTCAACCAATCCAATCTAGCTAGTTCTGTGACAGACCCAGTCACATCTCTACATTATAATACGTGAATATGAAAGGAATTTAGAAAGTGGTTTCTCAATCTCCTCTCTAATACTCACTGACTCACCACATTCTCTTCACCATTAACTCATCGACTCAGTACCTGCTCCTGATGAATTTGCATTCACATGCACAGATAGACTTTTGCATTAGAAGAATACTGATGAGAATAGATGAGAAAGCTGTTGAGGATGTGAAGTAGAGAAAGACGCCATTGTAAACTGACTTCCTGGAAATCATCATCACGAAAACATGCAGATTTTCGACTATGTGAGAATATTCAGTGTGATATGATAGGCAAGCAAGATAAGGTGATATGGAAACTGGTGTCAGGTGTGACATAGTCTGTGGACTGAGTCGTAGCACAATCAAATGAATTTTACTAGGTGATTCAACTGCATAGCTGTTCATTTGTATTCTAAAATGTTTCAGATGTATATATATGTTTCAGTGGAAATAATCTTTACTCAAAATATTGAAGATGAATGGAGGAACTTACGAAAAAGTAGAATAAACTTGAAGTGATCACTCCAAGGATAAAGAGTCCAATTGAAATCAGTGTGAAAGTCATCCATCCCAAATCACTCAAATTCCTCGTTGTCAATCCACCAATCACTGCTATTATGAATATCGCAAGTGTTAAAATCAGCACAGTAAATGCCACACACCATTGTAAATTAGCTAATATTATTGCTTGATTGATAGATAGTGAAATAACCTGGAAGTGAATACAGATAACAGTGAATGTAGTTTATCATACATGAGGAATGCACAAAAGTTGACTTTCAAATAACCACTTACTTGTAGCGCTATGAATCATAGCAGTGTTGTATAATACTGAGGGGAAGTGAAAGATACTTCACAATGTGTATGGATCGTTGTGATATGAGTCATTACAGTTGTCATGAAGCATTCGATTTTGAACTATGTGAGTGTATGCACTGAAAAAGCTTTCATAATTACAGTTGTGTGGTTTCAGGTATACAAATCTTCGAAATGTCATGCTAAGAAGAAACAGCTATCCAATTCTCCCAGGTTACTAATGTTCCACTAACAGATGTCAATCCATGATCAATTCAAAACTAAAATAAATTAATAAACCTCCATTAAACCTGCAGATGGAATCTGATTCGTTGGACATTCCTTCTTCATTCACCGCTAACAGATTTGAGGAAGCAGAGAGGAGAATCGATGACACGTGGAAATGAAGTCAGATATAGGAAAGGGAATGAAGTGGAGTGATCATCATAACCGTGTGCATCATCAATCAGTCAAGGCTGTACACTTGTATGGTTATATTATCTTCTCTGAGCTGGCTTGTTTAGTCGAGAAGCTTTCATCGTCTTTCTACACTACACTACACTACACTGGACAAAGTGGTCACCCTCTTCGCCTTCGTCATTTACATAAACACCAATCGCCTATTATAAACGTCACATGGCATTTCATCAATCATTCCAATACACCTGGATGACAAGGATGGACATGAATTCAAGTTGGACGATGTAAAGATTTTGTATGTAGAGAGGAAACACAGAGCATATCAGAGAATTTCTACAAGCTTGATATTCACGCCGACCAGTCAGTCAGGCAGCCAGTCAGCTAGCCAGCCAGCAGTCAATAGATGTATAGACATAACATAGACCCAGTCTATCAAGCAATGAGAAAGGTGAGAGGTGAAGCAGAGGAGCAGGCAACAGGAAAATCTGTGCAGTCAGTCAATGAATGACACAACAATGAAAGGAAATAACCAATCACAAGTGAGTTGGTCACGGCGAGCTACTAAATCACTGACGGAGAGATATTGACAGCTCACTTCATACTGAAGTTAGTGCTGATGATATGGCTGTCTAGAAAGATGATGAAAGCCTCACGATTAAACAACCCAACTCAAAGAACATAATATCGCCAAGACCATCCACCTGAGCACTAAATATTCTCCACCATTTCAAGGCTGTACTGTCAATGTTCAGTTTTCATTATAGTTACAATATCTACGACACTGACACCGTGCTGGTTGCAGTTTGTCTACAGCAGATTTCATCAACACAAATGCAAGATGAGTGCAGAGTTCATCCACCTGAACTTTGGATATGCTTTGTCAACTGAATAAATGGTTGTGTTGATAGTCGATCTGACAAACTGTGGTTTCACTTCACCGAGATTACCGAATACTCATTTGGTACAAAGAACTAATTGAGAACGTCTTCTCAGCATATTCAGTTTATTGACAAGCAGTGAAACCAAGAACGTGCGTTTTGTCCTGCTCGGGACACATCAGAAACATGTACCTGAATCTCAATAAATGCTGTCGCTCCGTCTGAGACTCCACCCAACTACCAACCACCTCAAATACCGAAACATTATCCCCTAAGTCACTACGGCAAGAGAGCTGCACGTCGTTTCTCTCTGATTTCATCAAGAGAACTGTCATTGTGTTGTAGAATTGTACGATTGTATTGACTGAAAGGGAATGTACCGCTCACCTACCTCGATTAGCACTGTTCAGATAGTAACGACAATGTGAATTGCTGGTAGATTGAAATCTTTAGTATACCACCTTTATCAACCGTCCTCATTACTGACGGTGTAAATAAACACCACGTCGAGCAGAGTCTCCTCACAGCTGAAAATAAACTCAAATTATTCATCACATGTGTAAAAAAATACTTTGTTTTTAGGAAATGTGTAAGCTTACTGCTAATAGTGTGATGAAGAGACTGGCAGGAATGCTATTCCATACTTTTGTCACGAAAACCAAGAGACCAGTTAAGAGGCTAGCGAATGATCTGAAATTGAATTGGGGAAATCAGTTGTCATCAGTCAGGTTTACGTCAATGCATAATGTGAGGCAGGAGAGAGTAAAGAACTTGTAGAATCTGATGGTGAATATAGTGATATAAACTATTCTCATGTATCCAGATCTGACTAAAATATTATCCACGTGATATAATAGTAAGTATCAGCAGTGACACAAGCACCAATCACCATTAACAGGAGGAATATAAAGAAGGAAGTTGTCTCTCTCACCTACCTACCTACCTGTCTAGGCAGCATCGTTTCAATTACAGACGGCACAGGCAAGGATGAGGATGTCAAAGCCATCATCGGAAAGACAGCAAGACAGACCTCCCTGCATTAATCTGAAATAATCAGTGTGGAGATCGACTGCAATGCACTGCACTGCACTGCATTGTACTACAGTCAGTCAGTCAGCCTGAACAACATCACGATTTTCAACACCAATGTCAATCAAGTAAGTTGGTGCTTCCATGTTATGGTTGAGAGACTCGACACGTTACGAAAAGCATTCCCAACAAACTGCAGACATTCATCACATCAACAGCTACCACCTACGCTCACTCGATACTCACACTGAAGATTAGATGACCAGAATAATAAGAATAAGCATTAGGGCACTGTGGCTGGCAGCGAATCAACCAACAACCTATCACCCAACAAATATGCAGCAGAAGGAAGTGGAGGTCGATTGTACTGGATTGGATTGGATTGTATTGGATGTGACATGCACTGATAAGATGGTTTGAGGAGATCACCGTCAGGTCAGGCGAAGCCATCAAGTGGAAGTCGAATGGGAAAGGATGAGTTTTTGGTGGGAGGTGAGGTTGAGATGGAGTAGATGGTGTGAGGAATTAATGAAAGTTTGTTGGCAGTGGTGGAGCTACGTTGATAATACTGCATTGAAGAGAGTGAAATAGTGACATGCTCCTGAAACCCTATGTTCAAGCAGGAACCCAACGGACAAATAATTATAATAAATCAGCAATGACACTGTGTACACATGATACTCACATGCGTCACATTCGTTGTCAGGTTGACAACTTATTCCGACTGTTGTACCTTCAATACCATGATGTAATACAGTTCATTGATGCACAGAATATACAAGTTGTATCCAGTACAGGAAAGCTTTGATGAAATGTATTGAGTGATAGAACCACGTTGTTGAAACATTAGTGGGGAATAACTACTTCCACTTCCATGCCTATAACTGAAAAGTCTATACTTTCCATTCTCCTACGTTAAACACTACGAACAGACAACATGAGAAGTGTGATTGAGATGACCTAAGCATGCAGCTAGCTCAGTTGATGTGGTTAAGAATGAAACAGCACCATTCAATAGCTGATATTTTCACCAGAGTTGATCATGAAGATTCAACGCATTCCCTCATTCCATCCACTCGTTTCCCTTCACTTCGTTCATTCAATACAAGTGGTTACAAAGATTTAGTAGGGCTTGTCAACTCAGATCATTAGGTAATCAACTTACATACACAACATCATTACACTCAGGTAGATGAATCTCATTATTTGATTATCCTCACTGTGATAAATAAAGCAAAATGTGATTAGGAAAACAGTATTATGTATGTATGATCACCTCCTCGCACTTCTATTAGTGGCGACAACATCTGCAACAAGTATCCATAAGTCATTCAATGACAACAGCTAAACGTGAATAGAAATTTGAGAAAATATGTTGCTCACCTGCATGGCTAGTGATCCACGATTAAACGACTGTGTGTTAGTTTCCTGTGTGTTTGAGAGATCTTGAGTGGGTTTTCTGTGCACTGCTGATGAATGAGAGATGAGATATACAGAAATGAAATGGATATTAGTGGGCACTTAATTTAATGATGGTGTTACTTGTTAGGAACAAAAACAACCACAGTGCAGTGCATGTAATCCTGATCACTGGTTCTCCAGCCTTCAAATTCTTTGACCTATTTGTTCTGCACTGACACGTTGGAGAAAATAGGACGAATGTTGAACATGAAAGCATTCATCAGACAGAAATTGGCTTCACTCAGAATCTGTTTACAGTCATTCAAGTGAACACCATCCAAATGCTATATGTCTATTAGACACCGAAAATGATAATTGTTCCACGTTCAAACGATATCTGACGAGTGCCACACATATTAACGTGTATCATTCACAGATTTGCATACATCAGAACCATCGATTTCTCTACTACATCTCCGGCGTGATCCAGAGGTGATTCGAGTGTTATCACTTTTTGCATTTTATTCAAACATCAAATCATTCCAGCCTGATTCTAAAACTCAATGCAGGTTGATACAGTTGCCACATTGACCACACTTTGATTGAGATGCAGGAATGAGGTTTAGGAATTCAGAATAAACCTTCATATAAACCGTACTCACAGAAGTTTGATATCTCGTACGTTGTGTTATCAGCAACTTATACATACTTCATGCATGTAACACTTCGACTATGGATAATGTTGACAGTATATTATTATGGTATGAAGAAGGATTGCAGCAGTGAGTTGACAGGTTTCCTCCCTCATCCTCATGTAAACAATTCCTCAATATACACACAGTATATACCTGAGTTCGTTATTCACATACCTCAACAATTAAACCGAGAAAGAACTAAAAATCACAAACTCACACAAAGACACTTGGTGTGTGTTTTACAATTGAACAATTATCTTGATTCAACAATTTTTATATACAGCGGAAAGTGTAGGTGTAATTATTGCAGATTTATTCGATAAATGTCAATACGATAGATATTCCAATGGACTTTAACTCATCGACCAGGTTTCTTTCAGTCAACAAAACAGTCAGTAGACTTCATCAATTATGGTACACTTCAAATGAATGTAAATGTTGTCAATGAATCTCATTGGTAAGATACACTGAAATATGATTCATGAGTAGTGATTGAGTAAAACTGTGAGACATTTCAAGTGTGTAAATTCACGAATATTTTCTGGCAGCATTTTGCATTGCCTTGTAGGTACGAATAATATATCCTTTTCTCATGCTTACTTTGAAGTAGTCAAATATTGATTTCAACTTGAATAACAACTTGAAATATTTCCGATTCCCACAACTCCCTCAAAATTCAATTGAATTGGTGCACATTGGTGACCAGATTCGAGAGGTATTCCCAAAGTTCTCATGAGAAGTGATGACCGGTGGGGGCAAAGCCTGATGGTCGTGAGGATAGTAACTCGACAATGACATTGGGTGGCGGTTGCGTTATATCGTGAGCTAACAGAAGTAGGAAATATGGACGAGTGGATTGTGATCCAGTGGTTCAGTGGTGACATGCTGACCACGAAATCTGAAGGTCACGGGTTCGATGTCTGGTAGGGTTGTGGGTGTGCACTACTGAGGAGTCCCATACTGGTGGGGCGAAATAGCTGTCCAATGCTCCCAGGTTTCCTATGTTCCTCCAACTGCTATCAGTCTACACTGAATAACAAGTTGAAACACTCCCGAATCCCCACAACTCCCTCGAAATTCAAATGTTGATGGAACAATTTGCTAAACTATCTTACTGTTAATGTTTTGCCTCATTAGTTGTAGAAGTGTGAACAATTACGGGTTGAGTACCAAGTGAAACGTATCACATTCAGTGGACTCACGAAAAGTGAATTGAAACAAATCTAAAAAGCCAATATCAACGTGATTTTCAAGACTTATCTCTTTCTTTCTGAGGTTTTATGTAATCTCCAACCTCAGTGAGTTTTGAGATGATACCATACGCATCCTTCCACAGAAATTACCTACTTTCATACACAATAAGCTTCCTATCTCCATTATCGGTTGGCAGATCTTATATTATCCTTATTAATGTTGTGTGGTATACATTCATTGCAGTGAAATACTGCTGTAATAAATAAGGCATAAGATAATGAAGATATTGGAGCATGGATTCTCGAGATTGAAATGTAGGCTGTTCGTAAGTGATGGTGACAACGCCTTCAGAATGCTTCGAAATATCAGATAATTATCGTTTTCAGAAGCATATGAGGAGATGTAGGTGAACAATAGTATCCTCTCGAATAAACCTTCTTCGTTCTTACTCTGATATGCTTACCCCCCGAATAATGTTTGCAGTATGAATGAGCAACTATGATTTGTCACTTACCACTGTCAAACATCTCACTGCTTCTTCCCCATTACACTGACAAGCTACACAACAGGTTTGAGTCCACCAGTGTAAAATCATTCATCATTATTAACAAATATATCATGACACTTCAAACAGTGTGGAATGTTTGTAGGTAAAGTGGATAATCTTGGTTGTATTGTGTTCTCTGAGCTACCTTGTTTAATCGCGAAGCTTCCATCATCTGTTTCAATTGTGAATTCTTAGAACTTTGAATGTGAATCAAATGGAGACACGGAACATGATGCCATATTGGACACAGTTTATCTCTCAGAGTTTGTTCCGCTCACTGTGACATCAAAGAATCAAAATACACTGACTGTTGTATCCAAGGTCATTCGATATTTTTACATTTTCTTTCAACATCTTGTACTACAGATGAACTATCATGATTTGTAGGTGCAAGAGAAAATTGCTCAACACTACGCACTCCATTTCCAGTGAGATGGATGTCATAAATTTAGCAATTGACCATGCATACACATCCTTCAGGTGCAGCTTCGTACCAATAGCAGATGTAGAGAATATTCGAGCAACCATGAATTGACACGATATGACGACTGTTTCTTACCTCACTTCCCTCATTACAATCTCTGTCTTCATGTACGAATACACGTTGCTCATGAAGGTATTTTTGGTAGGGATTTGTAACTGAAGTCTGAGTTTTGTGTACAGCCTTAACTTAATGGTAAACAAATTGAGACACTGAATACTTAGCACTTCACCTTCAAGTTTAATGTAACTTTGATAAAGCAAGCTATCATCGATAAATAGTGAATTTTCCCATTTATTATGAGGGTTAAGACAACAATGCCAACAGTTCTTGAGAAGCAAATCCTCTTGAAGCTGGAATTTAAGAGTGATATTGTCAGTGAGATCACCACACAACGCATAAAATGAGTCTTGCATAAAGCACTTCCAGCCTCTAAATTATGTCCCATCTTCCACAACTGCACGATTCTAGGTGCAACAAATAAAGACAAACTGCCTGATTCTGCCACTTCTATTTGCATTTATCAATTCAACTGCTCCTCTGGAGCTAGTCACATTAGGTGTACAATGAGGCAGTTCCATCGTCGAATTTCTGAGCACCACCCATCATGGTTGAACGAGGCACAAATTACGACGATAAAGAGCTCCATACTTGCACACTTAGTTGACACAGGACACCAAGTGGTTACTGGGAAAGCCTTCAAAATCATCCATCAGATTCCAATTAATTTACCTCATAGATTACGCACTCGGTTACTTCACATAGCAGAGGCGATTGCAATCCACCTTTACAAACCTAGCCTTTGTATCCAAAAGAAGTTTGTTCGACCACTTTCATTACCGTGGCCGTCAACATGATGTAACTTCTAGGTTTACTTTCTACACCTCTTCCCCCTTCCCCTTGTTTCTATCAATATTCATATTTCCAATTTTAGCAACCCTGTTGATTATTTACATCATTATTTCCGAGACACCACCACGTGATTGGTGATTTGATTAAATGGTAAACCCCCTACATATATATTAGTGTAGAGGCCAACCAAGATGAAGACCTAATTGAAAAGGAATATATTTCTTCACTGGCTCAATCAGTCTTTTTCTAACTAGTGAATTGTCAGCTTAGAAAGTAACTTAAGTCATAAGACAAACAAAGGTAACTACAATTGGTGTAATTTACGAATCTGGGATCTTTGGCATCATGATGGTAGCATAAAGTTGCAGTCAGCTTCGCTGTATTCACTGCTACTGCCTATAACGCGAGTTGAAACCTTATCACTGTTACTTTTTACCCGCAAGTCAACTAATGAAATTGTAGTGCCACCTGAACAGCGCTCTACTGTTGATTCCAGAGTAAACGTTCAATGATGATTAACTTCATAAGTGGATGTAGTGAATCACTCTCAGCATGTTAAATCAATGGTCAGCGTATAGCAGTGTTGCCTCACTCAGATTAGTATTAGTATTCTCATCACAAACTCGATTGATAGGTGTCAGTCAGAGTTGAGCTCGAAGAAATACAGACATTCATCTCTTACCTACTGGTGCATAATTCCTGTATCCTTTGCAATGTGACTGATTCCACGTTATTTTCACTGTGCTTCTGTCAATATCACCACTTACTATTCTCCAAATCACATTTGATCGAAGTGTTTGAGAGTGCTGGAAATATACAAATCACAGTCACAATTCTACTTGTAAGACGCATAGGAAAGGGATCATCACGTAGGTGGGAGCTCTGTCTGTTGGAAATCCTGATCCACTTCTCTTTGTCGGAAAGTAATTTCCACAATTCTCACTTATCTTGTGTATATAAACATGATATCCTGACATGTGGCTGCATGAAGTGCATATGCTCAATGAACAGTAATATCCACATGCTCAACATTTCAGTCAGACGAACATATTCCTGCTTTCCTCCTCATTATTCATTTGCATCATCAGAGGCGATAACTGATTCTTGAAGAAATGGGACACGTAGTCCAATAATTAGTTATCAAATGCACAATTGCCAGGAAACCAAAGACAGAGTTAGTAGTCACCATCTTCAGTAGGAACCAGGCAAATGCAGTAATACTCCATATCTTGTCACACTTATTAACTTCCAATTATCACAGCTGGTGTGGAGCTGTTCAGTTTCCAGAGCACTGATACTGGTTTCAAAACAAGATGAAATACAGGTACGATGCAATCATGATTTAGTAATGTAAACTGATTGAGATAGAACAAGCTGGATAGCACTACTTATTGCACTGAGGATCTCATCTCCTACACAGCAGACAACATAGAGAATCCAATAGACCAATGTGATTCCACTTCAAAGTGGGAACTGAGTTATTTTAACCAAAATCAAATCTATTTCGTCACAATAACTACTCATTAGGTGTAATTCGGAAACTCCTGTAAGACAAATAAATGTAATGGTGTGTTCACTTGACTAGCAGTGTAGAACTATCCCTCCCATCAGCATGATATTTACGTGAAAATGATTAGGCAAGAAATAAGCGAATAATGATTGAGGATCTGCACGTTGGTGAACTGTGTGCTAATGAACCATTTCGTTACAATTTACTAACTTGAGAATTTTGATGTCTATAGTGGGATCTGAAAAGAAATCAGGGTACGTACACGTACAATTTTCTTATCGGTATCTATGCTGGTGACTAATGTTATTTTCACAAATTTCTGTTGACTTTTAGTTGCTGTCAACGAATGGCTTGTGAACGTTGGTCGCAGATATTGCCGTCATTAATGGCGGTTTATGGGAGTAATCTTTTGCAATACTGTTTTCATAATTGCATTTTACTTCATCACAGTACGAAAAATCTATCGTTTGTGTACGTCTACTGGATTGTATTACTGTCATGTGTGTAAGTTGATTGGTTAATGATCTGAGTTGACAATGTGTAGTGAGTCTCGGTAATCACTATTAGGGAGGAAATGTAGAGATGGGAAAGGAGTGATTGGAACGGCGGAATTGGGTTGGTCATTCGCTCTCACCTCTAATCATGTTACTGTTACTGTGCTGGAAATGTTGATGTCTCACTGTATACTTTGTTGATTGAACAAGCCTAGCAGGGTAATTAAAGAATGTAGACATTTAGATTACTCTCTCTCTCTCTCTCTCTCTCTCTCTGAGTAACTACAGAAGTGGTCATTCCATTGTATTGGACAATCAAGACACTTCCAACATTGACGATATTTGCCAGCGCCTCTCCTCAATGAACAACATACCTGGATTAGGTACATCGTGTTGAAGTGACTATTTTAAGTTGATTGTCTGCGAATAGCCTTACAACATTTCATAATTTGTAGCAGGAATCAATCATGAGAACTACAAGAAATGAAATATTAGGGTACATAGCGTTAATCATGATAACCTACGTCATATTTTACTCAGACATGAATTTATGCTGATAGTTCACATTCGAATATCCGCTGTCAGAATTCGAAGAAAATATTTTGACCTACTCGCCATCGCATTATGCACTGGTGCTGGTCTGAAAAATGACAAATAAATTTCTCACCCTGATTTCACCTTATTATCTACTATCCTATCTGCTGTCTTGATTTTTGTGGAGAAACTACGGAATAGCTTTCCTGTCAATCTCTTCGTCACCTTATTAGCAGTAATTTTGTATGTTTTACTGAAAACAAATTCTACATATATGTCAGGGATAATTTCGGTTTTATGTCAGTGACAAGGAGACTGTTCAAGATTATTATTATCATTATTTTATTATTTTTTCCTTGTGTTCCCAATGGGCTTCAGTAGCACGCCTCCATTCCCCTCTCTCCTCTGCAGTCTTTCCAGCCTGTCACCACGACTGCCTACTAGCTTTCATTTCTTCCACATATAATCTCCTGAATGTCACCCTCACTTCGGACGCCCAACTCATCATTTCCCATTTGGATTCCACTCGAGTGCCTGACATGGGCCGACGCGTGATGCCTCCAATCGGCCTTCTCAGTGTATACCCAATCCAATCCATCTCCACTCTCTTCTACTGCAGTCAGTCAGTCAGTCAGTCAGGCATTCAGTCAGTCAGTCTGTCAGTCAGTCAGTTAGTCAGCAATCTACAGAGGTATAGACATAGACTCAATTTATCAACTAATGGGAAAAATGATAAACGACAGAAAGGTCAGATGTCAAGTAGGGGAACAGCCAACAGGAAAGTCTGTGCAGTCAGTCAGTGACACAACAATCGAAGGAAACAACCAATCACAGACCACATCGTCGAGGCAAGCCACTAAATCACTCTCGGAGACATGTTAATAGCTTACATTATACTGAAGTTAGTGTTGCTGATGTCGGTGTTTAGCAAGACGATGAAAGCTTCACGACTAGACTACCCAGCTCCATACACAACACAATACAACCAATTTACCATCACTTCACAAAATTCTACACATATTTTCCCTCATTCCCATTATCGAACCTTATGAACGAGGCATCATTACTACTCACCAACCCACTATCCATTCTTCACCATGTTAAACATGTGCACATCTATGTGTGCTGCACTCACAGTTATCTCATTCAATGTTTTTCTCACTATCTGCTTCACATCACTGCTTACCACCTCCTCGATTATCATTCTACTCGAGGCACTACCACACCTACAGTAACCATTCAATATGTTGTAACAGTGAAGATGTAGTATGAAGATGCATAATGTTCCATTTTAATTGAGGCGAAAATGGTGCTTCCATCAGGATATTCACCATAATACATTCATTGATATTTGTAGAATGGTGGATGAATGAAATTCAATGAGTGAGAACAAGTTGTATCTACTCAAGCGTTTCAGTATTATAACACCAAATGATATTTGTTAAAGTTACCAATGAAAGCATTCAGATTCCGTCTAGCACATAAACACATATTTGTAATTCAGAAAGTCAGTATAATATGGTTGAGAAATTCCGGTATATAATTTTACTGCAAATATTATGTCTTTCATTCAGCCATATGAAACACTGAGTTATGGAGAAACACAGCCACAATTCCTCAAGCCATAATAGATATGTAATGAACAGAACAACGGGGAATGTTTGATCGAAACGTCCAAATCTCAGGATTTTGATGGTGATGAAGATGATCTGAAAGTTGAAGAAGAAAATCTCATTGTCAATAGTATGACACGTTTGGTAATGTAGAGGAAATTCCATTGAATGCATCACCTCACTGAATCTGGTGTGCGATTGCGTTTTAATGTCTAACCGACACAGACTGCATGTTCTACATCGATTCAATAATGTGTGTGTTTGTGAGTATGTGTGGTAAGGTAATATTTAACACCCGTCCGATCACGGGCACACATTCCATTCAAGAAGAGGACACAACCAGTGTAACTCTAATCTCGCCTCATCTTCAAGTCTATGAAAGAAAATGTCCTGAATCACTGTGGAGAAAGTGTGTGAGCTTGTGAATTCAAGACATTACATATTCAGTTGTTGCATTGCACAACCCCAGGTAACTCTTGGATAATGTGGACTACTCCTCGTTTCAGTAGAAGTGGCTAAATTAGAACGTGATTTCCATGTCTGTAGTCTCTTAGTCCCCCCCACCACCCCTAATTTACTGTGGGAAATGAGAATTGAAGGAGACTATGTTGTTGAAATTAACACAAATAACGCCATATAGAGCTGCTCTAACATAAACTCTTCACGTGAATAACTGGGATACCGTAATGGTTTTCAAAGCGTTGAGCGTCGCCATCTCACAGGGTTCAGTGTGTTCATATGTGGACAATTGATTAACGTCTCCACCTGTTTCTACCAATTTTGATGATTATGAAATCCCAAAATGGTAGATTATTTCGATTAACACCATTACCACCAAACACATGGTTATCTCAACCACTTAGCAGCTAGATAATCGCTGAAGATGACAGGCTGCATAATACAGAATGTCTCATTTGCATCATAGAGGCGACTGAATGATACAGCTTGTGCTATGCGATAAATTTGTCACAGTTATTAACATTTGATTTAAGACATTCTCGTGCAGGTCTCTGATTATTCGCAATGAATTGTGAGAAAGAAAGCCTATTCATAGTGTTGTGTTCAAGTGTCTGAATGTACAGGATATTGGAGCAGCAGATAACCCATTTTGCAGCTTCACTGATCAATTCAATGGACGTTGAATGGAAATCGGAAAGTGAGATAACAAGTGTCCTCACCAAAAGAAGATGTGTACGCTACTCAAAGACCTTCTTCAATAAAACCTCGAATAACCACACTCCACAAGTCAAATAATCATTTCACTTCTATGCAATATGAAACTTACTATTGATAATCCAATGCTCCAGAATGCACCAGCTTCCATTGTCAGTTGTTTCTGAAGAAGATAATTAGACGTTGACATTAGGTATATTTTTATGAACAGAGTTCATAATTTGAAGTCGTACACAGAGACATATTAGCACTCGCCTGTCAAGATTAAACTGGTGTCTACAGTTGATCTTGTTCAACAAACTCCCGTTGAACGCACAGACAAAACGCTAATGGACTGCACTGAGTTTGTAGTCTACCATGAACTCGAATAGCCTAAATGAATGTTGCAATACAACCGAATCTCTCCCATCTGCAACCATGTCTGTACCGACCAACCAACGTAGCATTCCTTATGAAATAACTACTAGAATTCAAACACGATTACACTCATCCACTTGTACACATATATCTCCACTTAGTTTCCACCTCAAATGTAGTCAAAGGAAATCATGGAAAATATTCTCCCCTATCCTCAACAGCATGCATCTTCATTTCTTGATTACAATCCCCCACCACCACCACTACCACAACCACAACCACAACCATAACCACAACCAAAACACCCCCAACCCACACCACCACAACAGTGAAGACACAAACATATGTGGAAGTTACAGAATAACCGTGTGCAATCAGAATCTATCTACATGCTCCTGGATAGCTCCACATTCCCATCATTCACTGACAGACTACACCATTGAATTGATGACATCCAAGCAAGTAGAAGATTTAAGATATTCACCAGACTGATGAGATTCTCCTATCAGAACATGAAGTATCACTACTTACCAGTAGTCAACTTCCAAGACAACCACCTACACGATTTGAAATAAATGAATGTGAGAAGCAAGTAGATGAAAATCACTGAGTGAAGTCAATGTGCTACAGTTATTTCACTGGCTTAACTAATTCTGTGTTGAAAAGCATTAGGTGATAATCACATCCTTCGTCAACCAATCCAATCTAGCTAGTTCTGTGACAGACCCAGTCACATCTCTACATTATAATACGTGAATATGAAGGGAATTTAGAAAGTGGTTTCTCAATCTCCTCTTTAATACTCACTGACTCACCACATTCTCTTCACCATTAACTCATCCACTCAGTATCTACTCCTGATGAGTTCGCATTCACATGCACAGATAGACTTTTGCATTAGAAGAATACTGATGAGAATAGATGAGAAAGCTGTTGAGGATGTGAAGCAGAGAAAGACGCCATTGTAAACTGACTTCCTGGAAATCATCATGACGAAAACATGCAGATTTTCGACTATGTGAGAATATTCAGTGTGATATGATAGGCAAGCAAGATAAGGTGATATGGAAACTGGTGTCAGGTGTGACATAGTCTGTGGACTGAGTCGTAGCACAATCAAATCAAGTGCTTACGCATTCATGTGTATTTCAAAACGTCTATCACATATGTATATATATCTGAACGAAAATAGTCCTTACTGTAATATTGATGACAAATGGTAAAATCTTACGAGTAAGTAGAATAAACTGGCATCGAATAATCCGACAAAAATCAGTAGACCTGAAAGCCACAAGAATACCGTCCATCCCAAATCACTCAAATTCCTCGTCCTGAAACCAACAATCAATGTTGTTATGACTATGATAACTGTCAAACTCAGCACAACAGTAGCCACACACCATTGTAAATTAGCTAATATTAGCGTTGCACTAAAGGACAGTAAAATAACCTAGAAAGTCAAAACAGATAACAAGGGATGCAGTTCATCAGATATGAGTTATGCATGAAAGTTAATTTGTCAATGACTACTCACTTATAGTGTTATGAATAATTGCATTGTGGTAATATTGAGAGGAAATGCAAGATTCTTTAGAATGTGTGTTGAAGGTTTTGGTATGAATTATGAGAATTGTCATGAAGCATTCCATGTTGAAACACATGACTGACTATGTGCACTACTTCGTTTGCATAATTATTGTCACGCGAACATATATATTCAAATTTTCTGCGTGTTCACTAAACTTTTTTAAACATTTACCTGTCTCTTGGATTCCTAGTGGAACATACGCCTTCAAGAGCACGTCTCCAGTGCACTCTGTTCTCTGCAAACTTTTGAAGCTGGCTCCACAACAACCCACAAGCCTGGCCTGGCCTGGCCTGGCTGGAACGTGATATCCCCAGTCCGCCTTCTCAGTGTATGCCCAATGTCTGTAGTTTGTTGGAAAACCCCTTCTAATCGCACCAACTCTCTAAACCATCAGATAGAAGCACTCACTTGACTGGATTAATGTTGAAAATCCGCATGATGTTCACGCTCTCTGCTGAGTGCAGTAGATCTCTACAGTAATTATTTCAGGTTCATCAACGCGGGCCTGTCTTGCTGTCTTTCCGATCCTGTCTGGCTTCGACGTCCTCGTCTGTGCCACCACCACAGGTAGTTGAAACGATGCTGTCTGGGTGGTTGGTGAAAGAGGCTACTTCCTTCAAGTTTCACTAAACTAGTAGTGTTTTAATAGATGAAATTTCCTGAATTCTCTTATTACATTCTGTCTGTTACGAGTGAGTGAGAAATAACCTGTCACAATTGGTATGTATGTTTTTTATGAGAACTGTCATGTTCTCTCTGCTAACCGAAGATTCCTCTACATTATGCAGGAAATACACACTCCCTAAGAAGAAATATGATACCTCATCTGTTCAATACCTGAAGTTAGTTTTCACCTTCCCCCTATTTACAAGTAATCAAGAATAGACTCATGGCTTGCAATTTCGCATCAGTCTGATCTGGTTCACTGTTTATCAACTGCTTGTGGGGTGTGAACACCTGCATTGTCTCTCCTCCTACCCACATATATACACAACCAGTATATTTATGTACATTGTGTCCTAGATCCCCTTCCAGTCACATTCATTCCTCAGTGAGGGCAAAGCACATAGACAGAAGTACATCAATACACTTGACTCAAGAAAGTTTAAAGAGAATCTGATTTGTCGGACATTCTGTCTTCATCCACTTCATGGTGATTCATGGAAGCGTCGAAGAGAATCGATGACAGGTGGAAATGAAGTCAGATATAAGAAAGGGAATGAAGTGGAGTGATCGTCATAACAGTGTGCATCATCAATCAGTCAAGGCTGTACGCTCGTATCGTTATATTATCTTCTCTGAGCTGGCTTGTTTAGTCGAGGAGCTTTCATCGTCTTTCTACACGACACCTTCTACACGACACCTTCTACACTACACTACACTACACTACACTGGACAAAGTGGTCACCCTCTTCGCCTTCGTCATTTACATAAACACCAATCGCCTATTATAAACGTCACATGGCATTTCATCAATCATTCCAATACACCTGGATGACAAGGATGGACATGAATTCAAGTTGGACGATGTAAAGATTTTGTATGTAGAGAGGAAACACAGAGCATATCAGAGAATTCCTACAATCTAGGCATTTACGCCAACCAGTCAGGCAGCCAGCCAGCAGTAAATAGATGTATAGACATAGACCCAGTCTATCAAGCAATGAGAAAGGTGAGAGATGAAGCAGAGGAGCAGGCAACAGGAAAATCTGTGAAGTCAGTCAATGAATGACACAACAATGAAAGGAAATAACCAATCACAAGTGAGTTTGTCACGGCCAGCTACTAAATCACTGACGGAGAGATATTGACAGCTCACTTCATACTGAAGTTAGTGCTGATCATATCGTTGTCTAAGAAGATGATGACAGTTTGGCTACAGTATGTATGACCGAAAGATGAATTACGGGTGGATTTTTATCAACACAATACACAATACAAGATGAGTGCAGAGTTCGTTCATCTGAATTCTGAATAAACTTATTTCAACAATGAAATGATGAATGTGTTGATAGTCGGTTGACTGAAATTACTCATGACCTGTGTTATTAATTAATTCATTTTTAAGCAAATGTATAAGCTTACTGCTAATAATGTAATGAGGAAATTGACAGGAGAGTTGCTTTGTATTTCTGTAACAAACATGAACAAGATGGAAAGGAGGACGGCGAATATTCTGAAATCGAAATGGGAAATTCATTTGTCATCAGTCAGGTTAATATCAATGAGTAGTGTAAAGGAAAGAAACGTTAACAATTTTTGAATATTTGACAGTGAATAACTTGATGTCAATTATCTTCATGTGTCCATGTGTGAGTCAATTATAATCTATACAATATCATGGTGGGTATCAACAGTGACATTGCGTACACATGACATTCACATTCACATTCGTTGTAAGATTGACGGCTTATTCCGACCATTGTGCCTTCAATACTGTGATGTAATCCAGTTCATTGATGCTTAAGTGAAAATGGTCGATTGAAAGGAATGCACTAAATGAACCAGTTGTATTCAGTGGAGAAAAAACGTTGATGATGTGCAATCAGTGACAGAACCACATTGTTGAAACATTAGTGGGGAATAACTACTTCCACTTCCATGCCTATAACTGAAACGTCTATACTTTCCACTCTCCTACGTTAAGTACTACAAACAGACAACATGAGAACTGTGGTTGAGATGACCTAAGCATGCAGCTAGCTCAGTTGATGTGGTTAAGAATGAAACAGCATCATTCAATATTTTCACCAGAGTTGATCATGAATATTCAACGCATTCCCTCATTCCATCCACTCGTCTCCCTTCACTTCATTCATTCAATACAAATGGTTACAAATATTTAGTAGAGCTTGTCAACTCAGATCATTAGGTAATCAACTCACACACATGACAGCACTAATATCGTGTAGATTTGTTCTGTAGTTAGATTATCCTCACTGTGATAAAGCAAAATGTGATTAGGAAAACAGTGTTATGTATGCTTACCTATTTAAAATAACAGTAGTGACGACGAAATTCATGACCAACATACATAATACATTCACTGACAACAACTAAATGTTAACGAAAAATTCTGGGAAATATGTTGCTCACCTGCATGGCTAGTGATCCACGATTGTACGAGTGTGTGTTGGTTTCCTGTGTGTTTGAGAGATCTTGAGTGGGTTTTCTGTGCACTGCTGATGAATGACAGATGAGATATACAGAAATGGACTGGATATTAGTAAACACTTTATCTTATAATAATATCCCTCATTAGTCGAAAAAGAGACAACAATGCATGTATTCCTTAATCTACAGTGATTCGTTGGAGAAAATAAGTTGAATGTTGAAGATGAACACATTTTGGGGAGAGAAGTGGGCTTCATTGAGCATCTGTGTTCAGTCAGTCAAGTACACACCATCCAAATGTCATTTGTCTACTAGCGACCGCAATTGATAATTTCGATAGCGTAATACATTTCTAACAATCTGATCCCCCACACATTCAGTTGTCTCAACTCTATATATGTATATTAAACGGAGGAGTGAGAGGACAAATACAACAATATTAACACAAGCAGGGGATTAAAATGAAGAAAGATGAGAAGAAACAGGAGGAGTGACCTAGTTGATGGTAATCTTGTTAATAAAACAAAGTTTGACAAGAGGGAGGTGTAGTGTAAGAAAAAATTGTTGTTTGCTACACATAGAGGTGGTTTCAATTTGTGTGTGGTTATGGCTTCTCCAAATCTGAGTATCCCTCCCTCACTGACTGTTTCTATATGAAACTTTGAAAACTGTTTGGACATTAATTGTGTGACTTGTCGCCATGATATTTTTAGCTAATTACTTGAATGGCTTCGTCGAGTGGTGTCTGTCAAGGCTGCCCACTGTCTCCATTCTTATTCAGTTTGATCATAGATATGCTTATGGAGGTCACCTTCTCGTCAGCTGACTACACACACGTTGACCTAATCGCAGGAGAATTTTCGTTACACCTAGAGTACGCAGATGACATGGTCCTGTTAGATGAAGACGCTGACAAGATGCAGAGTCTTCTGAACACTTTGACTGACAATTTGAAATTGTTTGGGATGCATTTCTCACCATGCAAATGTAAATTGTTGCTCCACAATTGGTCTTCAACGGTGCCACACCACGACTAACCACAACGAGTGTAGTGGTTGAGTGTGTTGACCACTTGACTTGACTTCACAGGTAAGTGAAGTAGGATGAGCACTACACTGGTGGCTCAGTGACCGGTGATATTGTTTATTGAGGGTGGCGCGTGTAGTTCACGACAGTCCGTTGTGTTCTACTCTGTGATATGTTTAGCTGGTGATGAACAGAGTCTTCTTCCACCATTTGCTTTTGAAGCCATTCAGCCATATGTTCTCCCACCCTCCACTGCATGACTCGATCACTCCTCCTTATGTATGTATGACCACACACACACACACACACACACACACACACACACACACACACACATCATATGGAGACACGGAACAAATATATCATGACACTTCAATTAGAATAAATTTCCCTCCAAATAGTGGGGAATGTTTGTAGGTAAAGTGGATAATCTTGGTTGTATTGTGTTCACTGAGCTACCTTGTTTAATCGCGAAGCTTCCATCGTCTGTTTCAACTGTGAATTCTTAGAACTTTGAATGTGAATCAAATGGAGACAAGGAACATGATACCATATTAGACAGAGTTTATCTCTCAGAGTTTGTTCCGCTCACTGTGATATCGAAGAATCAAAATACATATCATTTACCAATTCACATACATCACTGTGGTCAGTTTTCCTACTATGTCTCCAGTGTGGTCAGAAGGTAATGGGATCGTTGTCAACTTATCAATCTATCCTGACACTAAACTATTGAATGAGACCAATCATTTCAAGCTGACTGTAAAACTTGATGCTGGTTGACAGACTTGCCACATTGATTACACTGTAATTGAGATGGAGGAACTGTTTGGGAAATTTGGAATAAAAGTTCACGTAAACTGTACACTTAAAATCATGATGTTGAATAGAAGGAGTTGTGGTAAACTCGTCCATATGACAAGTAAGTGAGACATCTACAATGGAAGAAGCTGATGAGATGTAAAATTGGCATGAATAATGATTATGACAGTGAATGGATAGGTTTCTTCCCTAGTCATAATGATAATATTCCTCAATACACACATAGTATACAACAGAGTACTACATAACTTTATCAAGCTCATTCAACAATTATCTGAAGACGTCACATGCCAAGCGAATCCCAATGGGAAGCTCAGTGATGCATCTGAAATGGAGTGAAGACAGGAGTAAAACAAGGTTGCCACCTACTATCACCCATCATGTTAATGATTGCAGTGGAATGGATCATGAAACAGACGTTGAGGAGCGAGAAGAGGGGATACGTTGGCTGAACCGTGGAGAACATCCTACAAGATTTGGATTTCGCCGATGGCTTATGTCTAATTTCACACAAATTTGAAGAAGACACAGGTGATGAAAATACCCAACCAACCAACCAACAACAACGACAACAAGCTGCAACCACCATCAGCGGGAGAAACATGAAGGAAGTAGCCTCTTTCACCAACCACCTAGTCAGCATCGTTTCAACTGTGGTGGCACAGACGAGGACGTCGAATCCAGACAGGATCGGAGAGACAGAGATGTTGTTCGTTACTGAAGATCAGATGGCCAGACTAATAATAATAATAATAATATGCAACAAGGAACTAACACTGGCTGACAACGAACCAACCAGCAACCTATCGCCCAACAAATATCCACTGTAAGGAAGGGTAGATGGGTTGGGCGTACACTGAGAAAGTCGACTGAGGACATCACACACCATGCCATGACAGGCACTCGAGTGGAACCCAGATGGGAAGCGACAAGTTGGGCCTCCCAACTGAGGGTAACACGATGAGTTGGTGTGAGGAAGAAATGAGAGCTTGTGTATTGTCGTGGAGCTAGGTTGAAAAGTTTGCAGAGAAGAGAGTGCACTGGAGACGTGCTCTTGAAGCCGTATATTCCACTAGGAACCCAAGGGATAAATAATAATTATAATAAAATAATGCACGAGACTGCGTCGACAACAATAAACAACAATAAACCTCAGAAAAATTCATAATCATTAACTCACACTAACTCACTCGTACTATTTCACAAATCAAAAGAATATGTGTAGTTTACAGTTTTTATATACAGTGGGAAGCCTAAGCGTGTATATATTCAGAGTTATTCGATAAATGTTGATTACATTTTCCAATGAACTTTAAACAATCGACAAGATTTTTCTCAGTCAACCAACAGTTAATCAACTTCACTATAAATGAATGAATGAATGAATGAATGTTGATTGTGCAAAATTATGTCTCATTCCATTTATATAGATAGAGATTTTGGATCTATACAAGAGTATAAGACATAGTGTCATGTTCACCGTTGTGAAATTCATAGATAAATATTATTGAAGAAAGAGGTATACTGAGTAAGGCTGAAATATTAGTGAAATATGTCAGTGTAGAAGTGGATGGTTTGTTCCATAGAATAATTTCAGATAGGTGTAATTCAGCCTTGATAGGAAACTGCAAGTTGAATGAATCCCTTCGTGTAACAATGTACTTACTGGCATGATGTTTAAATCTCGGTTTCCATCATAGTATGCTCAGATTCAGTACCTCTGTGTGATGAAACTATCTTGGCTGCCAAAAATCTCTCTCACACAATATGAAATATCACACTGTTTTATCAGGTGAATATGAAATCCTTGTAGAATGATACTTGAGTGCTGAATGACAACATTGGTTTTAGTAAACAGACATTAGCTAGCAAAGTGATTCATTGTTTCCAATCTAATCACATTTATTTATAACTTTTTTTCCTTTGGGTTCCTGGTGGAACATAGGGTTTAAGTAACACGCCTCCATTGCACTTTCTTCTCCACAGTCTTTTCAACCTGGCTCCACGACAGCCCACAAGCTGTCATTTCTTCCTCATATGATCTCCTACATTTCACCCTCACCTCGGACGCCCAACTCGTCATTTCACCTTTGAATTCCACTGGAAGGCCTGGCCTGTTGCCTAATGTCCTCAATCGGCCTTCTCAGTGAATGTGCACTTCAGTCCATCTCCAATCTCTTCTACTGCATATTTGTTGGACGATGAGTTCTTGGTTGGTTCTTTACTAGTTCAGAGTTCCTTGCTGCTTATTCTTATCATTCTGCCCATTCACCTGATTCATCTTCGGTATCGAGTGAGCATAGGTGCCAGCTATTCATGTATGTCTGTAGTTTGTTGAAAATGCTTTTCGTAATGCGCCATGTCTCTCAACCATCACATAGAAACACTGACTTGACTGGATTAGTGTTGAAAATCCGTATGTTGTTCACGCTTTGTGCTGAATGCAGTGGATCCCCACACTGGTTTCAGGTTAATCAACTCAGGCCTGTCTTGCTGTCTCTCCGATCCTGTCTGGCTTCGACGTCCTCGTCTGTGACGCTCCCACATGTAGTTGAAACAATGCTGTCTGGGTGGTTGGTGAGAGAGGCTACTTCCTTCAAGTTTCTCCCGTTAATGGTGATTAGTGCTTCCCGTTGATGTTGTTTTTATTGGTTTGTTGGTTATCTTCATCACAGGTGTCTTCTCTATATTCACTTGAAGTCCCATCTTCGCTGCCTTGTCTCTTCTGTCAACTAGTTGGTTTCTGCATGTAGATCTTCGAGTTTATGCGACAACATATCAGACATAACTCATCATCGGAGATATCCAAATCTTCTATGGTCTTTCCATTTGTCAAACAGCGTATGTCCCTCTTCTTGCTCCTTACAGTTATCAGTAGCCTGATCCAGTCAAGTCCAGTCCAGTGCAGTGCAGTGCAGTGCGGTGCGGTGCAGTCGACCACAATCAGGAAGATGACCGGTGATGATAGTAGGTGGCAACCTTGTCTTACTCCTGTTCTCACTCAAAAGACGTCACTGAGCCTCCCATTTTGAATCACTTGGCATGTGGCACCATATAACACTGCATATAGCAGCTGAATGACGTTGATCAAGGTTTGTGGCACTCAAACCGTAGTGTTGAAGCGGCTGTTTGCCAAATTA